TCCGACGATCAAGTTAGCACACACCTTAGGATAGAGAGAGAGGTGTTTGAATGTAAGAAATTCCTTACAAAGTGTTCATCTGTCCCGTATGGGGGGCGCAGACATGCTTATATACCCTCTGCGCCCCATATCCACTTCCAGTCATCTCCTGACACGTGGCTCCACTATCCCATCTGTCAGCATAAACCTTACCGATCATTACCTAATCTCAACTGCCTGCCTACTCAGCAGGAGCTCGGCAGCTGAGCTGCTCTATCCACGGCCGTGCTATGCTTCATACCCAAGCACCTCACTGGATAAACCCAAGGAGGACCGGGCTAGGCGGCATCTCGGCAGAGCCTAGCCCGGGCACCTCCTGTGGTCGGCCTTCCTGCCGATCAAACGGTTTCCTCGGTTGACCACGCCTTTCCGGGCGCCGGTCACTCAGCTTGTCTGGATTCAGCCATCTACTGCTCAAGCAGCTCGGTCCAACCGAGCACTGCCTTGCTGAGCTTCTTTTCGGTCCGGGACGGCTCACACTTGGCCCAATTCCTACCCGGGCCAAGTTCTGGCAGCCCATCTCCGGGCGGATAGTCGATCATCTCGGCCCCATGCACGGTTGGGCTCTCTTCCTGCTCGGCCGTTGCCTCGGCCCAATTCCAGATCATAAATCACCCTCTCACTTACTTATGTGGGTGTCCCTCTAAATCTTTGGAGTCTTAAAACCTTCAGAGATATTGGTAATATATAGGGCAAAGTAGTCTAATATGATGAAGATACAATTGCGTGCAAGCACTTGATGTTTGGCAAAGTAAGGATTATCACAAAAATTATGAAATCTATCAATAAGGTAGTTAATCCAGTAGGTAGTGTAAGGAATTATCAAGTGTGAGTGTATGAAGAGCCAGTAATAAACATCTGTTAATGTAACGACGATTACAGCTGTTAGAAAAATGAAGTCATAGAATCCAATTTGCAATATGAGGTTGATCAATTGTCCAAAATCAGGAAACAAGAGAATGAGGCACAGAAGGTGGCAGATGATACTGGAGATGGCGGTGGGGTTGAAGCTGAAGGTGGTAAATCTGCAGAAGAGGAAGAGGATGATGAAGTAGCAAAAAGGGATGACGTGTTAATTAATAGAACTCACACAATGGGAGGTATGTTAGACGACGTGGAGGAAAACAATAATTGTATGGCTGCTTCAGGTGTCCAAGAAACTGAGTGTGCTCTACGAAATTCAAACAGTGGGGGCTGTAATAATGCAAAAAGGGTGGTGCAGGTGGGTTGCTCAAGAATAGTGGAGAATGAGGAAGTTTAAAGGATAGATGGTCATGTTTGCACATCTGGATTTATGAATAGTCTGAATGGGTCGGAGTGTGGTAGGCCAAATATTAATTTAGAAGTTGTGTTAAATGGAGCCCAAATTGAACCTATGAATAATGGGCCAAGATGGGTGGTTAATTCAAATTTGAGTGGTTGTAGAGCCCAGTCCCAGGTTTTATCTTAGTGGGGAACTTAGCCTATAAGAATCAACACTAGAGGGCTAGCCCATCGCAGAGGGTTACTTTTAGAACAAAAAGGAATAATGATTTAAAGATGAAAGAAGCTAAATAGAGGCAAGGAAGAAGGAAGTAATGGTGCATGATCAAACCAGAAGGGGCTGTTATTCAGTAATTATTTAAAAAATGAGGCGATTCTTAGAGCGACAGCAGCAACCATATCCTTATCAGGGTCTCAAAGTACGAATTCAAATAGAAGAAGAAAGCTACTACAGGAAGCTCAAGCTACGGTTGAGATGGGGAAAATATTAGGGATAAACTGTGAAGGGAAGGAAGATGACGCGGTGAAAAGAATAGTTGAGTTGGAGGGGAAAGATTTGGATAGAGTTGAAGGGAGGGGTGCGCTAGCTTAAGCTGTCGGCAAAAAAGAGAAGGTTAGGAGCTATGCTATAGGTTTTTGATGAAGATCATGTCATGGAATGTTAGGGGTCTTAGAAGACCTGAAAAAAGGAGTAAAATTAAAGCGTTGGTGAGGGAAAGAAAAATAGATGTGCTGTTGCTTCAAGAGATAAAAAGAGACAGTGTTGATGTAAAGTTCATGAAATTGTTATAACCATTGCAGGAAATGGGTTGGGTGGAGGTTGATGCAGGGGGAAGTGCTAGTGGCCTTCTGTGCATTTGGAATACACAAATTTTTAAGTTGATTGATTGTTGCAGTGCAAGGAATTTTATACTGCTTCCAGGTCGTCTCTTTTAAAGCTTTTAACTATGTTATTTGCAATATATATGCTCCGAATGATGTATTGAAGAGGAGCCAATTATGAGGGAGTCTTATAAATATTAAATTGTCATATCTTAATCCTTGGTGTCTGGGAGGTGATTTTAATGAGATTAGATTTATGAGTGAAACGAAGGGTTGTTTAAGGAGGGATAGGAGAATGGGAAATTTTAATAATTTCATTGATATTTTGGAGTTAACTGATTTACCTATGCAAGAAATATTATTCACGTGGTGTAATGTAATGGATGGAGAGAGGTAGAGTAGGATTGATAGGTTTTTACTAGACCCTGCTTGGCTGGAGAGGTATAAGCTTAAATAATGGGGATTATCCAGAGGTCTTTGTGATCATTGCCCAGTTCTGTTAATGGAGGATGTGAGGGATTGGGGACCAAAACCTTTTAGGTTTATTAATACATGGACATTTCACCCCCAATTTAAGAATGAAGTGAAAAAGGTTTGGGAGGAGACCTAAATTCTAGGATAGGCTAGTTACAGAATTATGCATAAATTGAGAAGCTTGAGGGCACATCTGCGAAGGTGGAACCTGAAGGTATTTGGTAATATTAATGATCAACTTAACAAAGCTGAAGCTGAGTTACATGAGTGGGACTTAAAAGCTGAATCTAGATCCTTGGTTGAATCAGGAGTGCAATGATGAAGAGAGGTCAGAAGTCAAGTTTGGAATCTCAGTAGTAGCAATGAGAGGATGTGGCTGTAGAAGTCTAGAATGTCTTGGGCACAAAATGGTAATAAGAATACTAGACTATTTCATTTGATGGCAAGTAACAGCTAGGGGAAGAATTTATTGGACTCTATGAAGACAAATGTGGTGTTATGGTTGAAGAATCTAGTATGGTCAGATAAGTAGTGGAGAATTACTTTAAAAGACTGTTTGCTGAAAGTTGGAATAGTAGGTCTAAATTGTCAGGTCCTTTTTCATATATCAGCCTTGCGGATTCCAAAGATGTGTTAGAGTCAGACTTTAGTAAAGTTGAAATTTGGGTAGCCATTAAAGATTGGGATGGAAACAAGGCCCCTGGGCCAGATGGTTTCAATCTTTCTTGCATACAAAAGTGTTGGCTTATAATGAAATGTGAGTTCATCTAGTTGTTCGAAGAGTTTCACAAATGGGAAGTTGGCTAAAAGGGTAAATAGCTTTTTCATTACTTTGATTCCTTAAAAAGAGTACCCCATAGACTTGCATGAGGTCAAACCTATTAGCTTGGTTACATGAATTTACAAAGTGTTGGCTAAAGTGCTATCTAGAAGGCTAAGACAAGTGCTACCTAAGCTCATAGGAGAAGTTCAAACTATTTTCCTTGGTGGTCGATGTATTCTAGATGGGGTTTTAATTGCAAATGAGGTGGTTGATTGATGGAAGAAGGTAAAAAGAAAAGGAATCATCCTTAAACTGGATTTTAAGAAGGTATATGACTCCGTTAATTGGGAGTTTTTGATGTCAATGATGGAAAACTTTGGGTTTGGTGCAAAATGGGTAGGGTGGATTAAGTCGTGCATTTCTATATCAAGAATATTAGTGCTTGTAAATGGATCACCAACAATAGAATTTTCTCATCAAAAAGGCCTCAGGTAAGGTGATCCACTCTCTCCCTTGCTATTTAATATAGTGGCTAAAGGTTTAAATATTCTATTAGAGAGAGAAAAAGAAAAGGGGCTGATCAGAGGAGCTTCAGTCGATTATAAGGAGTTGAAAGTGTCTTATTTACAATTTGCAAATGACACCATTATTTTTTGTGAAGCCAATTGGGATGAAATCATTATGATTAAAAAAATTTTGAGATGTTTCGAAGTTATGTCAAGTCTAAAGATTAATTTTTATAAAAGTATTGTTTGTGGAATTGGTGTGGAAGAGGGGTTAGTTTAGTCAAGGAGTTTGCTAAAAAACTCAATTGCCTTAGTCAAAAATTACCTCTTACATATCTTGGTTTACCTTTAGGGGCAAACCCAAGGAGAAGAAGTACATGGCAACAGTGGTGGAAAAGGTTAAGAAGAAATTAACATCTTGGAAGATGTGGTTCTTGTCCTTTGCATGTAGATTGATCCTAATTTAATCTGCCTTGTTAAGTCTACCAGTGTATTTTCTATCCATCTTAAAAATGCCTGTTGGTGTTGCTAGAGTAATTGATAGGATTCAATCTAACTTCTTGTGGGGAGGGTTTGAAATTAGACAGAAAATTCATCTAGCTAGGTGGAAGGAGGTGTGTAAAAGTAAAGATTAAAGGGGGTTGGGAGTGAGAAGTCTTATTGCTATTAATGTCTGTCTGATGTTAAAATGGTGGTGGAGATATGGTAGAGAGCATAAGTCATTATGGAAACAAGTGATCTGTAGTAGATATAGTGGTTCTAGAGAAATGTGGATCCTAACACCAATGGAAGATGACAGGGTATCTAAGGTGTGGAAGGATATTGTATCATTAGCCTCATCAAATATTAGTATGGTTGAGTTCTTCCTTCAAAATTTCAAAATTATCATAGGAAATGGGGAGAGGATTCAGTTTTGGACGGATAAGTGGTTCAATAATATCAGTCTTGAGAATGAATTCCCTAGATTGTTCAGTCTGTCAACTAAGAAGGAAGGCTCATTGTAGATTTTCTATCAAAATAGAGGTCAGGACAATGATTGGCACTTGGTATTTAGAAGATCACTCTTAGCTTGGGAAGAGGAGGAGGTTAAAAGGCTAAATGTATTATTGTCAAAAGCACCTAATCTGAATCAAATGACTGAGGATACCTGTACATGGATGGCTAGTAATTCTGGTGTGTTCTCTGTGGCTTTAGCATGGAAAAGGTTAGAGTCAATTAATGGGCCCATGCTTAGCATTTCAAAGTTTCTGTGGAGAAACTCTACTCTTCCAAAGGCTAAGTTTTTCAGTTGGTTAGTTTGGAGAGGGAGAATAAGGACTGCAGATTTTATGCATAGAATTGGAGCTCTAACAGCCAATGTCAGCTCTCTATGTGTGTTTTGTAGTGCAGAGGTGGAATCAATTAATCATGTGCTGCTTTTATGTCCATTGGTCTGGAAATTATGGTCTAAAATGGTAAATTGGTGGGAGATTAAGTGGGTAACTCCAGGTTCAGTGGATGTGTTGTTGCAATGGTGGGTTGGTATGAAATTTAGAAAGCAGGAGTTGGATATTTGGAAGGTTGTTCCTTTGGCCATGTTATGGTTTGTATGGAAACTAATGAATGATTGCTTGTTTAATAATGACAGTGCTGATCTTACTGAGACGATGGATCTATTAAAAGTTAGAGTTGTTCAATGGGTGAAATCAAATTGTAAAGGAATAAATTACTCAGTGCATGATACTGTGGCAAACTTGAAGCATGTGAAAGGTTGTTTGGCATAAGAGGTCTATTGGAATATGAAGATAATATGAGGATGCAAATCTGTATGCTGCTCTGGTGCTGTCAAATTGTTTTTGCTGTTATTGGAAACTAACTGTTTTGGTGTTGGTGCAGAGGTGTATTAGGTGGTTGTTGTATTTGCTGTGTTGTTCTGTTTTCTTCTTTCCTGCTGCTATGGATTGCTGTTGATCTGTATGGGCAGTGATCATTTTGAGTTGTGGTTGCTGGTGCTGATATTCTCTGTTATTGGCTTGATTCTGCTGATATGGCTTGGTTATGATCTATGTGGACAGTGATCTTTTGGAGTTGGCTGCTGGAATTGGTGTTCTTTGTTGTTGTCCTGTTTTCTGGATGGTTGGTAGTTTGGGTTGCACTTTTGTAGTAGTTTTTGTTAGTTTTTACTAGGGTGAGGTTGGTTTTGGTGTTTCAGGTTGGTTCCTCACCAACTCTTGATGGCGTGCTAACATATGATTGGGCGGTCTTATAGGTGCCAACCTAGTTGGGATTGATTTGGTTCGTTATGATACTTTTTGCACTCATCTTCCTTTTTTCTTTTATTGATGTAATAATGTTTCATCAATAAAGTTCCCTTTCTTTTGCTGATAAAAAAAAAAGAGTATTATTTTGACCCCCCTAAATTATAAAAACGTGCAAATAGACTCTTTTAAAACTATTGATAAGTATCATTTTGACCTTTTAAATTATAAAAAGCATACAAATTGACCCCTAAATTATAAAAGCGTACAAATGGACTCTTTTTAAACTATTAATAAGTATTACTTTTAAATTATAAAAACGTAGAAATGAACCCCTTTTAAACTATTGACAAGTATCATTTTAACCCCCTGAATTATAAAACCATATAAATAGACCTCTTAAACTATTACACGTACTAATTAGACCTCCTAATAAAAGGGTAAAACTGAAACACATCAATAGTTTAGGGGTTCATGCTTTTATAATTTAGGGAGCAAAGCGATACTTTTCAATAGTTTAAGCGATCTATTTGTATGTTTGTATAGTTCAGAGGATCAAAATGGTACTTTATGCCTTATATATTATGGGAAATTCTATTTCAACACACCTAATAAACTCAAGGCAAATATTTTCTCAATGCACACACTTATTAATTTGATTATTAATTAAAATTCTCAATCTAAATCCTTAAAATTACAATTACACCCTTCACATGGTACACACACTTTATTTGCAAATCCACGCACTTTTATTGACCCTAATTCACATTTGTAGTTCGACCCACAAAAGTGAAGACCAAACTGACTTTCGTTCTAGTACAAAAAAAAAAAAAAAAAAAATTGACTTTCGTTCAAATGGGAAAAAAAAAAAAGTCTTTGAACTTTCCACACCTCAATTGAAAACTTTGAAGACCTCCATTGAACCTCCACTAAAAGCCATTGAAAACCCTTGTTTAAGGTAATAAATCTTTGCATTTTATCATTTTGTTATTACATCGTTGGCTAACAATTATAATTGGGCATGTCGAAAAGGGTCTCTATTGCTTGACGCCACATTGCCATAGATCTTGATAACATTGTAGAAATCTTCACTGTAACTTATTCTTTCAAGTTTGATTCTTTCCATGATATCTTCAATCCCATCAAAGTTCTTGGCTAGAGCGAGCTTGTTGACGATCACAGTATAAAGAGCTTCATTTGGTCGATAGTCCTTGCGATTTGAGAGTTGGGTTAAGAGAGAGAGTGTTGAATTGTGATTTTTGAGAGTTTGGAAAAGCTAGAGAATCTCATTGGAGCTTAACCAGTCTTTGTGGTTGAGAATGATGGGATTATTTACTTTGCTTATTTTTGGTTTTCCAAAAACACTTTTTAAAAAATTTTACTTTTTTGTTTTCTATGTTTTTTTGTTTTTATTGTTTTTTTAATATCTTAAGCAATTTTTAAAATTTTTAGACATACCTAATATAAACACGCATAAAAATATATTTTTTGTGAAAAAAAATCTTTTAAAAATTCACTAAATACCAAAAATACCAAAAAAATGAGAATTCAGTATATTTTTTGTATTTTTATGTATTTATAATTTTTAAAAATATTTTTTCACAATTTTTTTACACATTGGAATCTGGAAAATTCAATCCAAACATACACATTGGAATCTGGAGATGCCCCAGATGAAGAAACAAAGTGATAATAATAGAAAAATTAGAGTTTAATTTTTTTAATTCAAAAAGTGTATATTGAGATTTTTTTTATTCTTAAATAATGTGTACAGAGAATTTTTTTTTTTATATAATATTATGAGTGCTGCTGGATGTCTGGTCATTCTTACTTAGAATATAATTGAGGTCAAGTTTGGGAAGACTAAACAAGTGCACTTTTTGATTTTTTATGAAATATGGGTTGGATTTGGGTTGGGTTTGAAGTGATATGTTAGAGAGGTGATATGACTTAAATAAGATGATGCGACTTAAATAGGATAGTGACTTTTTGACTTTTTGGATTTTTTGGAGGATGCCAAACTTGGCCTGAGTGTGTTTGGTTTGAGTTTTTTGGATTAAACTTTTTAAAAATTGAGGGTACGTTTGGTTTGAGTTTGGGAGATGAGTTTTAGAGATAAAAAGTACGAAAAGTTGTTTGGTTTGATTTTTTTCAAAAGATGTTTTAGAAAATTATTTTGAGAGAGAGTTTTGGAAAAACTGATTGATTTGATGTGTATGAGAGAGAGATTTGTTTGGAAAACTTGTAAACCAAACAAGTTTTTGAAAATTTTTTTGGGAAAATTTGTTTGGTTTGATTACTTTTAAAAACTTATTTGTAGAGAATTTTTCTCAAAAATTTTTGAGAAACACAAACCAAACAAGGCCTGAGTTTTTTGGTTTCGTGTTTTTTTTTTAGTGAATATTTTTAAAATTTTAAATATATATTTTTTTATTTTTTTAGATACACCTTACTTAGATGTATCTAAAAAGTAAAAATTTGTGAAAAAATATTTTAAAAAATTAATAAATACATAAAAATATAAAAAATGTACTGAATTATCATATTTTTATATATATATATTTTTTGTATTTAGTGAATTTTTAAAATATTTTTTTTATATTTTTTTATTTTTAAGTATATTTATGTTAGGTATGTCTAAAAATTAAAAAAATTACTTAAAATATTAAAAAAATTTAGTAAAAACAAAAAAATAAAATTTTTTAAAAGTGTTTTTGAAAAATTTTAACCAAACAAAGTAATTGTATTTCACTCAACTAAGAGGTTATTTGAGATATTTTAAATAAGTGTATTTTTTGACTTTTTATGAAATATGAATAGAAGAGTATAGAAAGGTAATATCACTTAAATAAAATGATACGATTTAGGGCTAGTTTGGCATGTACTAAATAAGCCAAAAAGTCAAAAAGTTACTATCTTATTTAAGTCACATCATCTTATTTAAATCACATCACATCTCTAACACATCACATCAAACCCAACCCAAACCTACCAATAGGTCAAAAAGTACACTTTTTTAAGATATTCCAAATCAACTCTTAAGTTGAATAACAACTTCTGGACTTTTTTAGAAGATGACAAATAAGATCTAATTATTTCCGAGATATCAATCACTCCTTATTACCCATGTTTGCTTTCTCTCTCCTCACGTGCCAAGCACCACTCTCACCAAATTACCGCCATTTTCTCTCTCCTTTTTCCCATTTTCAAATTCAAAAAACCACACTCCTCCCCTTTTACAGAACACTCTCAAAAGTGTGGCAAGAAAACATTTTCAAAAAACAGAGAGAGAGAGAGAGTGAGTGAGATCTCACTCACAGACCATGGAAGCGAAACAACAACACTCTCCAAACCCTCCTTCTTCCTCATCATCACTTCTCAGAGACATCTCCAATTTCAAAACCCCCAAACACCCTTCCCAAAACCCTAATCTCCACTCTCCACACCTCCAATTCTTCACCGCCTCCAAACAAACCCCTCGCTCCTCTTCCATTCTCCGTCGCCACCGCCCTTCTCTCGCTTCTTCCTCGGCTCGATCCAAAGTCTCCCGCAGACTCAAAGAATTCGAGCTCGAACAGTGTAAATCGGCACGAAAAGCCCAAATCGACAAAGAAAAATCACTTAAATCGCTTGCAAAATCGCTCACCGTATGGCTCAATTTCTTGCTTCAGAACCCAGTTTCCTGCGGTTGCGATTTGTCGAAAATGACTGGTCAATGCGGGTTTGAGGAATCGGATGTGAAGTTGGTGTCTGGGAATGGGAAGAGGGAGAGCAGTCGAGGTGGTGGGGTTGGAGTGGATACTCCGTGGCGGTGCCCCAAGAGGCAGAGGGATTCGGGTTGGCGTGGCGTGGTGAGAGAAGAGAGCACGGTGTTTTCGAATTCGAAGCTTTTGGCTTTGCAATCCTCGTTGCGGGATGTTTGTAGTTTTGACGATTTGAAAGAGCGAATGAAGGTTTACTTGAGCTTGGGTAGTTGTAAAGAAATTTTCAATGTGATGACTCAAGTAACAAAGGTCTGTTTTTGAATTTGTCATAATAATTATCTTCTCATTGTATGATTGTTTCAAATGTATGTTTACATATGTTGGTGTAGTTCAGGTTTGTATGGATCTAGTTTATGCTGATTAATGTTCTGAAGAATGCATTTTTTAAGCAATATTTCATGCTAGAGTTGGATTTTGCTCATCTCTCAACCAACTTTTGAGTAGTGATCAGTATTTTTTTATTTTAAATCAGAATTTGTATTTCTGGATGTCTTGTTTGTTAGCGTTAGGCTATCTCCAACCCTTACTATACTTCTACTAAAATCGAGTAGAAGTTTGAGTAAAAAACTTCATTTGATATGAACTCAAATTTGAGTAAAAATTGCCAAGTGTCAAGTTTTTAGTGGATGCTAGGGGTTCGAGTGGAGGAGAATTTGGGTAAAAGCATCTATATGTCAAGTTTTGATTGGATAGAAATTTGAGTAAAGGAAATGGGTCTCCCTTGATTGGAGTCAAAATTTCAGTAAAACTCAATTTGGTATAGGTTGGAGTAAAGGAGTGGAGTGGATTTTAGTGCCTTTTTTATTCAAATTTAAGTCTAAGGCGAGATTTGGTTGAGCCTTGGAGATGCTGTTAGACATTAATTATCAACTTACTAATAGTTGTTATTTTCTTTATTGGAATCATTGATAGTGTATAGTTGCAAGTTTGTACTTACTTGCAGATTTGACTTAAAATTAGCTACAGCGTTGCTAATAATGGTTTTTGAATGTTTTAATATAAATATCTGTTAGAATTTGTTCAAAGCATTTGATTATATTATTGTTTTACTATTCAGAATATAGACGAAGGAAGATTGAAAATGAAGCCACACTGCCCTATTGTAACTGATGTTGGGTTGAAGGAGAAGGCCTCGAGAATCCTTATGTGTTATAACCCAATTTGGCTCCGGATTGGGTTATATATTATTTTTGGTGGTGATTCATTATTGTCGGATGAGGACATAAATTCTGAAAAGGAAATTGCATTCTTGAAGATGGTTATCGAGAAGCAGTTTTTTTCTCATGCTGGTCTAGCTAGAGTTTATGCTTATAACAAGTTGGTTGAGGGTTTATATAGACCAGGTTACTTTGAGGCCTTGGGGAATGTTATATTGAAGAGATTTTTGTTGCTTGTTCTTGTACTTGATAGAGCTAAATCTCAAAGCTGTCTTCCTATCAAGTATGGCATTGATGGATTGGATGGGGGTTCTCCTCTGCTATTTACTTTGCAACCTAACATTAAATCGAGTTGTCAATTGATCCATGGTAATTAAAAAAGTATTATTCCTCATATCATTTTTGGTTTGGTATGTTTTCATTCTTTCTTTGTTAAGAGTGTGGGTTGACTTTTTTCTGTTTTGATTCAAATTAGATTTCTTATCATCGGATGTGATGCATGGAGAAGGTAATGTTCTTGCTCATCTATTGATTGTAGGGTACAAAGTATCTTACTTACAGGTAAGCTCTAAGCAGCTCAAACTGTGCATATAATTCTTATTTTCTTGCGTGCATGTGTATGTGCTTTTGGTTGTTGCCAATTTCAAATCTCATTTTGTACTTTCAATTACATGGTTTTGGCCTCTATGGCTATTTTAAAAATTGAAAATTAGGCATTAACTTAATTTAGAATCCACATTGCAGAGTTTTTGATTTCATAAAAGAGTAATTTGCCAAAACAATGTTGTTATGGTCCAGAGTCCTTTCAATGAGTATGACTTCAGGGTGAAAGAATTGTTTGAAGATCTTCAAGATGGGGTGCGGCTTTGTAGAGCCATTCAGCTCTTGCAACATGACGCTTCCATTCTCATGGTTAGCCTATTTTCCGGAAAAAAAAAAAACGATAGGTATCAATTATTCTTAGCTGGATAAACTGTAACTGGTGACCTTGTTGCTCAATGTTACGGACAGAAAATGTTGGTTCCATCAGATACCCGTAAGAAGAATGTGGTGAATTGTGGCGTTGCCCTTCAACATCTGAAACAGGCTGGTGTGCCATTATTTGATGGAGATGGATCGATGATTGTAGCAGAAGACATTGTTAGTGGAGATAAGGAACTCACACTTTCGTTACTTTGGAACATCTTTGTTCATTTGCAGGTATGCTCGCAATCTTGTCACTCTTAATATTTCAGAATGCCTCAAAACATGATATTGCGGTTTCTACTGCATTGAACCTGAACATATAATTGGGTTTTGGCATTTTGAATTAGAAAATTATGTAGTGCAGTATGCTTTTCTCTTTGGGTTTTCCAAATTTATTTTGTACTAGTCTGTTTTTTTTTTTCCAATGTTGGATGTACACTGAAAATTATCTTTCTGGCACTAGGTTTTGTAGTTGCTAAAAATAGGAGTGATAATTGTTGTACTTGTTCATCAGCCCTGCTATTTAATCTGCAGCTGCCACTTCTAATCAACAAAACGCTTATATTGGAGGAAATTTCCAGAATCCAAGGAGTTAATGCGGTATGTTTCAATTTGGATAGCTGTTTTATTTTTATTTTATTTTATTTTTATAATTTCTAATTGGTAGGTTAAGAAGAATACCCATCAAGGAGGTACTTAGAAGATGTACTTCCAGTAGTGGAAGACCAACCTAGCCTCTTAATTTAAAGAAATGTTGCTGTGTAATAAAACTATATATATAAATTTTTTGCTTGTTGGTTTTTAACGTAATAAAATCCATTTCCGAAATTAATTTTGAGCTCTTACAGTTCTTGATATTTTACAGGAACACTTGAACAATTCCACTCTTTTGGACATGCTTCTCAATTGGATCCAGGTACCAAAGTTCTCCAGTGAATGAACTTGCTGTTCTTTGTTAACTAATTGAATGCTATATTCTTATGATTCATCTATTACCAACTTTATTGCTCATCTAGTTGTCAATTATTTCCTTTCTACTTTCTTTATTTTCTTCTTTAAATTTTTTCCAAATTGGGACCATAAAGTGCAATTCATTTTTCTTTAGTAAATCCATCTAAGAGTTTGGGAAGTCTTTTTAAAACACTGTTCTCTCTTCTCTTTTGTCTTCCTCTTTCCAATCATCAAATATGCAATAACATTTTAAGAAAGGGCTGCATGGGGAGAACTGAGTTGTGTGCATGCTTCTGTATTTTGCCGTAATTTATTGCTACCAAATCAAAAAGAGTGAGCAAAATGAGAGCAGTGAAATGCATCCCATTCTTTTACTCTCTCTCTCTCTCTCCCTCTCTCTCTATATATATATATTCATATAGACAGATATATTCATTTACTTGTGTAAGGTCTCTTGTCACTGTTTTTATCGTACATCTTCCACTCGGGCTTGTTACAAGATTACTTCTACACACACTCTAATCTACCCTTACTCTACCCCTCTCTTGGGATGAGGAAACCCTACTTTTCAACAAGAGAGTCTTTCCTGTGAGTTAAACTCTGATGTACCAACAACCTCCTCTCTAGGGCACATGTTTTTACAACTATCACGCCAACAGTAGTTGGTTTTTGGATTGTTCATACTCTTCGTTCTCTGAGATTTTATGTTCTCCTAATATCCATTTTTATCTGCAAGTGACAAATTTCCTTACTATGTTTGCAGGCGATATGTAAAAGTTACGATTTCAAGGTTGATAATTTTGCTTCACTGGTAGATGGAAAAGCCATGTGGTGCTTGCTTGATTATTACTTCCGGAAGGAACTTAATTGTTCATGTTCTCTTAAGGTGGTTACCATATTCCTTTTCATTAATTCTAAAGTTTTCGTTTTTCCCATTTCGTTGTCATTTTATTTGTGCTATGCTGACAGGATATTAGGGAAACAAGTGGAGAAACATCAATTATGTCAGTTAGTGATTATACAGATGCTGTTCACAACTTCATATTATCACAGAAATTGACTACATTGTTGGGAAATTTTCCGGAGGTATAAATTTGCTGATTGCTGTATATTTGAGAACGGAAGGAAAAGCATGAAAAACTATAAGCCAAGTTTTTTGCCGGCATGTTGTTTCTATGAATTACTGAACGGATACTTCATCAAATGCAGCATGCTAATGTGTCATTTCAATGTATTACATTGTCTCCTACAGGTTCTGCAAGTCAGCGACATACTTGAACATAATGGTCCATGTAACAGTCAAAGTGTGATTATTTTGTTGGTTTTCCTCTCATTCCAGCTACTTGTCAGGAAAAACACGGTAATGCGAAAATCTAAGTGCCTAGAAACAACTAAGCCCTGTTATTGCCACACTTGAGAAATATACATATAACTCATTTTGACTTCTTACCAGGAGCAATTGAATTTTCATAAACTCTTGGGTTTTACTTGTCAAAGTCCAGAGAGGAGACGTTTAAGTATGGACCAGTGCTTTGCTCATTCTGAAGCAATACTAAATCAAGAAGATAGACATGTGTACAACACTGAAGGTTTCAATTTTTATTTCAATGGGAGTTTGGAAGTTACTTTTGTACGTCATTTCATTGAATATATTGGTCCAATTTTAAATTTATATAACCTATGCAACTGATTATCTGAAAGTTTGAGCTATTAAGAAAAGGGAAAATATGGGCCTAATTACTTACTCCAACAACCAACAAGCCTCCACTCCCCCCTCCAAAATATGTGAGAAGCTTCACATGAAGAACAGCACAATAGAAACATTGTATAGAATGAAGTCTAAAATTGTATATACAAGTTCTCACAATCTCCCTATAAAATGGGAGACTAACAGTACAAGAGACTTGAACCTACGGCCTCCCCAAATCAAAGGTCTAATATGATGTTAGGTTACTAGTTATCCCAAAAGCTTAAGATATTGAGATGAGGAGCCAACAATGGATATCAAGATCTAGCAATTATATCTAGGCATTAGTCTTACAGTTGCATGGCCTTAGTTTTGGCAAGCAGATAGTTATCTTAACTTTTATATCACTCATGGAAGGCTTGTAAATTTTTTAAATCACTTTCAATAAAAGCCATTCATAAAGTGTGGGTCAGATTGAGAACCCTAGGAAAAAAAAGGCTGTGTTTGATAGAGTTTTTTAAAATTAATTCCACTCTTACATTCTAATGCTATGTTTGGTTTAAGTTTTCAAATTATGATTCCAAATAAATTTCAAAATATGTCTTGAAAACATGTTTGGTAAACCAGACAGTTTGGAAATTTTTGGTCTACCTGGTCGTCCGTCCGGACATCCGAGAGGATATCTAGCCGGTTGACCGGAACAATACCTTTTTTTTTTCAATTGCCAATCGCCACCTGTTATTTGGAAAAAAAAAAATTATATTCTGTAGAAATTTAATGTATAAAGAGAAATGATTGTATTATTGATTCATATATTGAATGTTACAATGATTCCTATATATAGAAGAGTAGGTGGTAGTAGGTGGTAGATGGAGTAGGTAAAGTGGAGGTGGTAGTGGTGTAGTGGGTTAGGTTTAGTGGAGTAGGTGAGGTGGTAGTGGTGTAGTGGGTTAGGTTTAGTGGGTGAAGTAGGTGATAGGTTTTAACAGCCCCTCGCAAACTCAAGGGAGATAGGAACTAACCAACTTGAGTTTGGAGAGAGTAACAAAACAATAAAATACATTAATACATAAAATAAAAGAGGATAGGAGACACTGTATGGTCGTGTCAGACCGTTGGTGAAGACACTGTATGGTGGTTTCATAACGGTGTAGAGGACACTGTATGGTGGTGTCATAACGTTGTAGAGGACACTGTATGGTGGTGTCAGACCGTTGGTGAAGACACTGTATGGTGGTGTCATAACGGTGTAGAGGACACTGTATGGTGGTGTCAGACCGTTGGTGAAGACACTGTATGGTGGTGTCATAACGTTGTAGAGGACACTGTATGGTGGTGTCAGACCGTTGGTGAAGACACTGTATGGTGGTGTCATAACGTTGTAGAGGACACTGTATGGTGGTGTCAGACCGTTGGTGAAGACACTGTATGGTGGTGTCATAACGGTGTAGAGGACACTGTATGGGGGTGTCATAACGTTGTAGAGGACACTGTATGGTGGTGTCAGACCGTTGGTGAAGACACTATATGGTGGTGTCATAACGTTGTAGAGGACACTGGATGACGGTGTCAGACCGATGTAGAAGACAGTTTATGGGGTCATGTCGGACCGTTGAAGCAGACAATGTTGTGACAGTTGTTGTGACAGTTTACGGAGTCTTGCTGGACCCTTGTAGAAACTAACCGGAATCAATGTCGGGACAGTTTACAGAGTCTTGTCAGACCCATAAAGGAGCTAACCGGAATCAATGTCGAGACAGTTTACAGAGTCTTGTCGGACCCATGAAGGAGCTAACCAATTAATCAAAGGTAACATTTAAACAAAATAAATAAATAAAAACAAAAAATTAAGGGGCGACTGATATCATTCAACTTCCACCTTCCACATTAGAATCTTTTTAGACAATGGCATTAAAAGGAATGAAACTTTTAATGGCAGGTTCAATGCTTTCAAAAGCTAAAGCATTTTGCAAGCCATTTAAACTCCCTAAAAAACATGGCATAACCCTCTTGAAACAGATGGCCTGCGCCTTTTGGTTGTTTAACTTTTATTTATGCATGCATTCATAATATTATGTGTATATAATGTGTGAGAATAAAAAAAAGAAACAAAATAAAAGATAGAAAAATAATAATAAAACAAAACAGGTTTTAAAAACTCAACAGCATGCTAGAAAAATATATATATATATATATATATATATAAAATAAAGAAAGTTGGGAACAACATGATAAGGGTGTATTTTAAAAGGATAAATAAAAGAAAGTGGAAGACAACATGATACGGGTGTGTATGGATGTGATAATGGATGTGATAATGAGAGTAAAACAATCTTAGTGGGTGTGATTAAATAAAGAAAAGAAGAATGGGTTTTGTCCTTGAGTAGAGAGAAAGAGAGATCTGTGTTGTGGTGTGTGTGGTATCAATTATAGAGAGAGAGCCATTACCAGTATCGGCTGACCCAAAACAAAACCCTTGTCCTTGTCTCTCTCTCTCTCTCTCTCCTCTGTGTCTGTCGTTCTGTCTTGGGGCTTTGTTGGTTTGGATTGTGAAATGCTTGGAAGGGATGCAGAAGCTGCCAAACACACCCATCACGATGCAAACTATAAGGATAACCAGTACTTCAGCTGAGAAGTCCCATGTCAATCCCCTGATGTAAACCAGCGCTAAGAAGACAGATAAGCAAAGGAGATTGTTCATGGTTGCAGCCCCATATAACTCAGAGAAAGTCAACGAGGCAGATCTCTGCCTTTTTCTGCTAGAAAAGATAATTGCTGTTACTGACTCACTGGAGGTGGTAGCCAAAGGCAACGCAATAAATGAGATGAAGAAAGATGGAATGCTTGTCGCATCGGAGAAATTATCAACAGCGTCTACCAATGGATCAGCAAATGCAGCTGCAATGACGGTTCCCAGAAGCAGCAACAACACTGCTTCGATGAAGAGTTAAAGGAGGAAAGTTCCAACTCTGACATGCAGAGAACCCATAAGAAAAGACTCACTTTCTGCGTTGAAGGAAATATCAGTGTAGGGAGGACGAGAAAGGAGATCCAGGGGAGGGCATGGAGAAGATGTCAATGCTATTGAAGAAAATTAAGGAAATTTGGGTTTGTCCGGCGGGCGGCCAAGGCGAGATTGCCGCCCGCCGGTGGAACGAAAATACTAGGTTTTTAACCTTGCTCTGATACCATGTAGAAATTTAATGTATAAAGAGAAATGATTGTATTATTGATTTATAAATATTGTTTGATATCTATTACAAATGGTGAGTGGCTCATTATATAGGAGAGGGTGAGTGTAGTAGGTGAGGTAGTGGGTTAGGTTTAGTGGAGTAGGTGAGGTGGTAGTGGTGTAGTGGGTTAGGTTTAGTGGGTGAAGTAGGTGATAGGTTTTAACATATTCAATGTGTTTGGTTTGAGTTTTGTGGATTAAGTTTTTTGAAAACTGACTTTTTTGGTTTTTGTGTTTTTTTGTTTTTAGTGAATATTTTTTAAATTTTAAACATTTTTTTTTTTACTTTTTTAGATGCACCTTACTTAGATGTATCTAAAAAGTAAAAAATTTGTGAAAAAATATTTTAAAAATTAATAAATACATAAAAATACAAAAAAATGTACTGAATTCTTGTATTTTTTTTTTTTGTATTTTTGGTATTTAGTGAATTTTTAAAAGATTTTTTTTATAATTTTTTTACTTTTTAGGTGTATTTATGTTATGTGTGTCTAAAAAGTAAAAAAATTGCTTAAAATATTAAAAAAATTCATTAAAAACAAAAAAACACGGAAAATAGGAAAGTAGAATTTTCTGAAAAGTGTTTTTTGAAAAGTGAAAACAAGCAAAGTGATTTGTTTTTGATATTTTTTAAATATAGAAATTATTTTTTTAGACCAAAATTACAAATTATTTTTTTGAATTGAACTTTAAAAAGAGTTTGGTTATGAGTTTTGAATAGAATTTTCAATAGAGTTTTGAGTTGTGTGTTTAGTTATGAGTTATAAGTTTTTCAATTAAGTTTTGAAAACTCTTTTTAAAACTCATAACCAAACAACTTTTCTCATTTCGTATGTTACATCAAAAATTCAAACTCTATTCAAAACTCATAATCAAACAAATTTTTTCTTTTCAAATTATAATTTCAAAACTCACAAACTCAAAATACAGCTCTATTCTCAAATCTTAATTTTAAAACTCTACCAAACGTTACCAAAGTATTCCAGTAAAGATGCATGAAGTCATTTTGTGCTTTTAGGTAGATGTCATTGGCTATTTTAGTTCAATAGTAGATGATTATTGGTTAACTCTTTCTAATATTTACATTGCACTTTCAAGCTCTTATATTTATATATAACAACGTGTATTATGTGATACAAGCTTTCTGACTCAGCAGGATTGTAAATGATGGATGATATCTTTTTGGAACAGTCAATATTGGACTGCCCCCATCTTTGCTTTCTTTTTTTCTTCCTATGGGGTTCATGCTTACGAATTTTGTCAATGTTATAAGAAAGTAAACTTTCTCATTGATTAGTTCTATACAATGGTTTGACTGTTTATTTATTTTCTCCTTTACTGTTCCTCATTTCATTAAGGTGGCATGAGAAATTTTAAGGCCATCATGGCTTGGTGGCAAGACATGGCTATGCGGAACAAAAGATTTAATTTGCGACCGGGTACTCCTCCTTTGCAATTTTTATCAACTAGAAGAAGCAGCAGTACAATGCAACGAGGTAATCTCTTTGAACTTTGAACCCTTTCTAGGCCTTTTTTTTTTTCCGGAATTTGGGGAGATGGTGGTTATCTTGATGCCTCTTTCTAATTAGTTTGAATTTTGTTGATGTTTCACTAACTCTATTCCTAAAGGAATCTAAATGCAAATTTCACATCAAATTGTTGGTGATTAGTAGAATTTTTAAAAAAATTATATATATATTGATTGTAATGGTCACTTAAAATAATTTTTTTCTCCTTTTGTTTTTTGTTGGAAAATCTAAAGAAGTTGAGTTATCAATTAGACTAAAGATACAAATGCTCTAACCTTTTTGTTCATAATGATGATTGGAGTTGTCATAATGATTGTCTTTAAACTGAACCAATTTGGACTCTCATTTCTAACTACAACTTAATTTATGTTCTTATAACACATTGTTCACTGGTTAAAATTGGGTATGATATAAACAAGGTTAAATTGACATTTTGAATAATTTATTTCTGACATCATCCTAAACTGTTAAGTCAACCAATGCTAGTGTCTAGACTAATGGAGGGGGCAACATGTAATGCGACAATTAAACCCAAGGAGGGGAATGTAATTTCCAGAAGGTTAGGGGTACTAATGTAATGGGAAAAAACCTTAGGGGGTGTTAATGTAATTTACCCTTTTTTTAAATGCATATTCATGTTCTATCACTTTTTGCTCAGAAACATTCTTTTCCTGATGGCTTGTTCCTTATGTGGTGAGTCCAGAAAATGCAGCAAAAATTATTCAGTCTCGCTTTAGACAATCATTGGCACGCAACAACTATTTGCGCATAAAGAATGCGGTTACTTTCTTGCAAACTGTGATTCGGGCTTGGCTGGCTGTCAAGAAGAAATCAGCAATCAATAAATTCTGTACCAGCAGAGTTCAGGAGTTTTCATTTGGTATTGACTATTCTTTAGAAATTTATTCACACGCCTTTTGGCATATTCTATCTTGTCTGATCTTTTTGGTTAATCACACAGAAAAGCAGAAGCAATCAGACGTTTTGGGCAGATATATCACCTACATGGTTGACAGGCACAATTTTGTTAAGTTGAAAAGGTTTGCAACAATCATTGAGCATGCCACGAGGGCTTGGATTTCTCGAAGACATCATGGTGGCAGCATATTAACTCAAGATATGTCTACTCATGATGTTGTTAATGCGGCCATTGTTGTTCAGAAGTGCATTCGTGGATCGACAGTAAGGTCAATATACTTTCAGAGGGTTTCTCAGCTAGAGAAAGTTTCTCATGCATGTGAAGAAACTGAAGTTAATGATTGTCAAATAAAGGCAGCATCTACTATTCAGCTTGCTTGGAAAAAGTTTCTTGTGCACAAATCTCTCTGCTTTCAGAACTTATCTGCAACTAAAATTCAGACTTGTTATCGTGGTTGGTTGATGAGAAAGAGTTTTGTGATTCAGAATTTATCTGCAACTAAAATTCAGAGTTGCTATCGTGGTTGGTTGATGAGAAAGAGGTTTATTATGATTCAGAAGCATATTAAGGCAGCATTTAATATTCAGCTTGCTTGGAAAAAGTTTCTTATGAACAAGGCTCTCCGCCTTCAGAACTTATCTGCAACTAAAATTCAGAGTTGCTATCGTGGTTGGTTCAAGAGAAAGAGTTTTGTGCTTCAGAAGCAAGCAGCATTAAAAATTCAAAGTATTTTTCAATGTTTGAGATGCTTGAGGGATTTTCAACAATACAAAATTGCAACTAGGTCAGCAATTATTATTCAATCTCACACACGTGGATGGATTGCTCGAAGAGTTGCTTATCGACTAAATTGTCTCATCGTTGTAATTCAAGTAAGTCTAGTTGTTCTGTAGATAACTTTGACATGTTACTGAAAATTGTTATTGATTAGAGGAAAGTTCTAGCTATCTGAAAATTGCGTGCGTGCGTGTGTGTGTGTGTGTGTCTCTCTCTCTCCTGTGTGTGTTCTGTTATATTTTATATCTTTATATTATGAACATATATGGAATATTTGGTATGTGTAATTTCTAATCTTGATTCTTTTTGGATGGTAGAAGGTCATTCTAATCTTGAATTTTTGGTTTGTCTTTACCTTTTTTTGGTTAGTCATCTGTATGAATGCAATTTTCCTAACTGAACATGACATAAAATTAATTATGTGATTGTTTGGTTTAATCAAACCAGAGTCATTGCCGTGGTTGGTTAATAAGAAGGGAGATTGTGGTCCAAAAAGAAGCTGTGATAAAGATTCAAAGTGCTTTTCGATGCATTCAGTGCCAGAAGCTTTTTGATTGTTATAGGCATGCTGCAACAGAAATCCAACGGTTTGTCAGGGGACAGATAGCTCGAAGGAGGGTTTTAGGTATCTTTCATGTGCTGCCTATTTGTTTTAGTAATGCTCTCTTTTATTTATGTTTTAGTCTTTGCAAGTGTACTCATGTATGAGATCCCGTTAATGCAGGGGCTTCTTTCCTCCCAAAAACAGATCTAATGGGTTGCATTGTGACTTCAAAAGATTGCTTCCAGAATCTTGAATTGGGTATGTTTTTATGCTCCGTTTTGAAGTTGCAAAGATGGTGGAGGGTTGTTTTGATGCATAAATCAAGATCAAAGTCAGCAATCATAATCCAATCTCATATTCGAGGGTGGATTGCCAGGCAAGAAGCTACTAGAGTAAGGCATTGTATTATTGTAATCCAAGTAAGACACATCTCTCTTTCGTTATCCTATTCTTTCCTAAATGCTCCTGTAATGGTATTGATAAAGTGAAGCCATCAATGCATGCGCTAATTTTTTATTATATCTTTTTAATTTATTTTTTTTGGTTTGGCCTTTTTGATGTGGTAGTCATACTGGAAAGGTTACCTTGCACGGAAAGCTTCAAGAGGGCAGCTACTTGATTTACGCCTGAGATTGCACAAGTCTGCTGCAAATGTGGATGATAGCATGCGCATTATAAACAGACTCCTGGTGGCACTTTCTGATCTATTGAGTATGAAAAGCGTCAGTGGCATTCTTCATACCTGTGCAACTTTGGGTGAGCATTTTATATCATTCTTATAGAAGTCATTGGACACTCATAGAATCGTGTCAAATACTTTTCGTACTCAATAGATCAGAAAGTGCCACCAGGAAAAGATTGCAGGAATTTTTTGTTGTTCTAACCATTTTCTTTGTGTGTTGTTTTTCATTGGATGTACAAACTAGAAAATTTGATGTTAATTGGAGGAGATTTTGAGAAGTTACAATATTTTTAATAATGAGCTGATATTGCATTATCTTAGATAATAGGACTTACAATTTAATTCCCTCATGATTTATCCTCACAATTTTTTTTTGTCCATCTTTATATTCTTGAGATATGCTAAGTTACTCTTCCTCTCTCTACTAGAACCATTCATTATTTCCTTTTGAGTTCTTGGTAAAATGTTATGTCGTTTTAGTTATTGCACGTTGATGTCCTCTAGCACCTGGATGCTATTGTTTTTCTTAAAGCTGGGTATCAGGGTAATGGGGGTAGGGGCTATTTTTACATTTTTACACGAGTCTACAAAACTCTGAAAATACTAAATTTTTTAATGCATTTATTCTTGTTCATTATTAGTTTTATTAATTTGTGAGTAAGCTCTTTCCGCTTGTCATGTGTAAATTTTTGATTTTTTTTCTTTCTTACATGGTGATGGTGCCTTGTTGGTCAATGCTAAAGTATCACAAACACTTCTAGGGAGGAGCCGTGTTTGTATTAGACACTTATTGGACACTCATAGAATCGTGTCAAATACTTCTTTAACGTGTTCTAATTTAAAAAAATGATATTTCATGATTTTAGTTATTCTAATGATACTTCATTAACACTTATTGGATTCCCTAAAAGCTCATGTTGTGGATCTCTTAACAATTACAATGTCTACCATTATTGGGATTGAAACTTAATGAAACAATTCTGAAGATGTATGCTAATCATGTTCATGATGACTTCTAAAACAAAATTCACTGTGATTAGAACAATTACAGGAAGGTCATTTGTCATGTATTTAAAAAAATTTTAATTTGTGAAATGTTGAAGCAATGATGGTGAACTTGTTCTACAGATATGGCGACAAAACATTCACAAAAATGTTGTGAAAAACTTGTGGAAGCCGGGGCAGTTGACACGTTACTGAAGCTCATTCGCTCAGTCAGTCGAAGTATACCCGATCAAGAGGTTCTAAAACATGCACTGTCTACTCTAAGATGTATAAAGAGAAAAAGAGAATTGTATTATTGATTGATGTTTGTAATTGTTTTAATTATTGAATGCTACAATGATTCCTATATATAGAAGAGTAGGTGGTAGAGGTGTAGTGGGTTAGGTTTAGTGGAGTAGGTGAGGTGGTAGTGGTGTAGTGGGTTAGGTTTAGTGGGTGAAGTAGGTGATAGGTTTTAACAGCCCCCCGAGATTTCTGAGAGAGGTTCTGTAACACTCTGTTGTCTAATCATGTTCATGATGACTTCTAAAACAAAATTCACTGTGATTAGAACAATTACAGGTAGGTCATTTGTCATGTATTTAAAAACATTTTAATTTGTGAAATGTTGAAGCAATGATGGTGAACTTGTTCTACAGATATGGCGACAAAACATTCACAAAAATGTTGTGAAAAACTTGTGGAAGCCGGGGCAGTTGACACGTTACTGAAGCTCATTCGCTCAGTCAGTCGAAGTATACCCGATCAAGAGGTTCTAAAACATGCACTGTCTACTCTAAGAAATCTTGCTCGATATTCACATTTGACTGAAGTGCTGATTCGTAGTCGTGGATCTGTAGAAACGATTCTTTGGGAGTTGCTAAGGTTGGTCAGAGAAGTTACTTAGAGTGTAGAAGTTTTTTGTGTTTTTGATTTTCATTTGTTGTGTTTTGTACTTTTTTTTTCAGAAACAAAGAGGAGGGTTATTTCATTGCTTCTGAGCTTTTGAGGAAGATATGTTTGAATCCGAAAGGTGTTGAAGCTGCACGCAACTCGCCAGCTCTCTTGAAGAGGTTACACAATCTTGTTGAGGATCTCACAAGGAAGACAGGCAATGAAAAGAGGTAAGATGTTGGCAACAGAAATTCTGAATATTGTTTTTGTTTGTTTTAGTAAAAAAATGTTGTGTTTTTTGTACAGTGAAAAATGACAGTAAGTAGAAAACGTTTTTCGTGGTCAATAGAAAATAAATTTATTCGGTTGAAAAACATTTTTCACTTTTGAAACATAAAAATCGTTTTCTGGATTGAAGTGTTACTCATGCCACCACACAACCCCTACACCATTGCCCCATCACTAGCATATTAGTTTCAAAGTTGCAACTAAACATAAAAAAAATGGTTTTAGTTTATGTAAATAAGTATTTTTTTTTTTTTGGCTGACACAAATAGAGCGTTACTTTGATAAATTATATGCATGTCTATCGTTGTTTCCTTATAATTGTGTAATTAAACTTATTTCTAGTTACTTCTCTGTTTGTTTCGGCAAAACATAAGTCAATGAAAAATATTTTTTATAGTCAATGGAAAACAAACTTATTTTGATTGAAAATGCTTTTCACTTCTGAAAACGTTTCTGGACAAATGTCTTACCAACCCCTACCACTTCCCTACCCCACCACTACCACCATGGACTAGCACAGTAGTATAAGTTTCAAAAAATATTTTGTATAGAAAAATGTTTTCCGTTGAAACAAATTGAAAGTTACTTTTGATCAAACTTCTAATGCATCTCTAACTTTGTTTGCTTATAATTGTGTAACTAAACTTATTTCTGTCACTTACATCCAGGAATGCTAGGGGTCAGCTTGCAAGAGAGCAGTTGGAGAGAAGATTAAGAGAAGCTGTTGAGCTCCTAAATTTAATTACAAATATATAGGGCAAAGTCCCAACCCTATATTTGGTTCAATGTATATTTTTATAGTCAAGAAATTTAAGTTCTCTTTGAATTGAATTTTTTTGGGGGGATCCCAATGTATGTTTGTTTCTTTGGGAATTTGTGATTTCATGATCCTTGTGGTTTTACTTTTTGCTCGCAAGTGATTTGTTTAATTATTCATTAGCTTTTGCTCAAATCCATTTCGAAGGTAATTTAGTATGATAAAAAATAAAAGACAATAGAATATCTATATATTTGGGTAAATTACACATTCCAGTTTGAGAAAAATAGTCAATCTCACTTTTGATATAATTATATTAATATTTTTTTAATAAGATTAAATTGATTGAAATTAATATAGATGGTGAGTAGATATTATATAAATTAAAACCTAAAAAAAAGTATATTTATATTAAAAATATAGGACTAATTATATTGTTTTTTCAAACTTCAAGAAATGTGAATACAATTCCTTATATATTTTTGTGATCAATAAAAAATAACTTTAATTGAATAAAAAAAACCCTTTATAATTTTAAAAGTGAAAAATAATTTTCAAACAAAGGTAGCAACCAACACTACCCCCACCAATACTATCACAATTATTAGCACATTATAACAACCAAATATATAATTTTTTTTTTGTAGAAAATACATATATATATTTTTGCAGAACTTACGATCATGCAATTTTATGACCCCCAAAAAAAAAAATTTACAAACACACCTCTTAAAATTTACTTCAAATACAAATTGCTCTGATAATTTTAAAAATTATATCTAACCTTTTAAAATTTTAATTTTCATAACAAATAACTCTTTTTATTAATAAATTATTAAGTCAATTAACAATTTTTAATGATGCTAAAAATTTATTTCAATTAATAATTTAGATAATTTCATCATTGTAGAAAAGAATAGTTATAAGTTTCATCTTTTCAATTTAATTTGTTAAATAAAAAATTCTAACATTCAAGGGTCACTCCATTTCAAAGGTAATTTAGTATGATAAAAAATAAAAGACAATAAAATATCTATATATTTGGATAAATTACACATTCCAGTTTGAGAAAAATAGTCAATCTCACTTTTGATATAATTATATTAATATTTTTTTAATAAGATTAAATTGATTGAAATTAATATAGATGGTGAGTAGATATTATGTAAATTAAAACCTAAAAAAAAGTATATTTATATTAAAAATATAGGACTAATTATATTGTTTTTTCAAACTTCAAGAAATGTGAATACAATTCCTTATATATTTTTGTGATCAATAAAAAATAACTTTAATTGAATAAAAAAAACCCTTTATAATTTTAAAAGTGAAAAATAATTTTCAAACAAAGGTAGCAACCAACACTACCCCCACCAATACTATCACAATTATTAGCACATTATAACAACCAAATATATAATTTTTTTTTTGTAGAAAATACATATATATATTTTTGCAGAACTTACGATCATGCAATTTTATGACCCCCAAAAAAAAAAATTTACAAACACACCTCTTAAAATTTACTTCAAATACAAATTGCTCTGATAATTTTAAAAATTATATCTAACCTTTTAAAATTTTAATTTTCATAACAAATAACTCTTTTTATTAATAAATTATTAAGTCAATTAACAATTTTTAATGATGCTAAAAATTTATTTCAATTAATAATTTAGATAATTTCATCATTGTAGAAAAGAATAGTTATAAGTTTCATCTTTTCAATTTAATTTGTTAAATAAAAAATTCTAACAATGGGGTATTCATAATTTTTCAAACAATAAGGGACTTTCTGTATTTTAAGGAATCCTCATGGGGTGTATTTGTAATTTACCCAAAAAAGAAAATAGAACACAATTCAATACAAAGAATAGAATGGACAATGAGCACAAAGAATTTTAATACCAAAAAAAATATTGAACTCAATACAAGTCCAAAAGGGAAAAAACCACATGAAGTGAGCAGCTTCTAACTATAAGAGGCAAACAAAGAACAAGCAATTAGAAATAGACCTCAGCTAATAGAATAAGATCGACAACACAAAGCTAGGACACAAATCAACAAAAGATCCTCACAATCCGAGGGCAAGATTCAGGATCCCCTCGCAAGCATGGCTAGATCCAAAAGCGAAAAAACCACATGAGGTGAGCTGTAGGCTTGACTCCTTCAATTTGGTCACCGAAAAATCTTCCAAAAGCCTTCGAACAAGGGCAAAACATTGCTGCAGGAAAGACTTAAGTACAATCCTAAGAGGCTGCAAACAATAAATATACAATTGGGGTGAGAATAATATAATGGAATTTGAGCAGACAAGATCATGAGGGAGTAAGGGGAGCACTAGCGTGAATTTCAAAAAATCCAGACTTGAATCCGTTGATTTATCTAGTAACTATTCAAGCAAATTGTAACGAAGATAAGTTCTATCTTTATAAGAGCAAATCAAGACTACATGCATGGAACAGGAGATGGTAAAATTTTATTCCTCGCATTGACAGTATGACTAACAGTCAACAACATAGGCAATGCCATTGATGAAAACCCTCACCTTCAACCATAGGCTCCGAGAAAAAGGTCAATCTTATAAATGAGAAGAAATTAGCATTGGAAAGAAATGCTGCTTCCCCTCAACAAGACCTCATCAATTGCTTCCTTAGTATCTGCAATGAAGACAATTCAGCTATATTGTCCGCTTCTCTCTCTCAGCCTCTGCAATCATGACAGATTTAAGAACAGAAAATGCATAGGAAACTATAAAAATTAAGCATACAAAAATTTTGTTATTTGAGATTGCAGAACAAGAGAGAGATTGCTAAGAGCAAGGCTCTCCGGGAGCTTCTCATGTGGGATGCACTTGTCAAATGCACACATGGAGAGTAGCAATGGAGACTCTAAGGATGACCCTCCTGTGTTCTGCACCTTTAGGAGGGTTCTCAACTCAAAGATACAGAATAGGAAAGACGCCTAATACCAAAACGATGGCAAGTATGTGCAAATATAGTTTAATGTTTCCTTCAAAGAAGCTCTATGAGTGAAATTAATGCATGTAGTATTAAGAAAATAGCTAGTACCGATGTAGAATTCTGATACTCAGGTGGTATGGGCAGCAAGCATGACTCACATGGACAAGAACATCTTCCAGAATGTGTGCTGGGTATGAGTTTGAGAGAATCAAAACCCTAGCTATGATTTATTACTTTGTGACACAGTTCACATGGAAGCTATCCTGCATTGAAGATTCGTTCCTGCAGAGATCTAATGCTAGTTTCCAATCAGTGAGTACCAATCCATACTGAGCAAAAGAAATATAATGATGCAATTCAATGTGTCCTGGGTATGAGTTTGACAGAATCAAAACCCTAGCTATGATTTATTACTTTGTGACACAGTTCACATGGAAGCTATCCTGCATTGAAGATTCGTTCCTGCAGAGATCTAATGCTAGTTTCCAATAATTGAGTACCAATCCTTACTGAGCAAAAGAAATATAATGATGCAATTCAAGTCAAGCAGCCTTTCATTGGTTTAAATGAAAAATAAAATGTGTCCATGCTGTTGAATAAGCTTATATGTATCAGTCTAGTGGGAACGGGTAAGCAATTCATCCACATTGCTCATCCAGCTCACCATAACTTTTTGGACTAAAAAGACAGTAGTTTCTCCACAATTAGATGACTTTGATAATCTGCTCCACATTAAAAATTGATCCACGTTATTGATTTGTTCTGCCAATCACAATCATTAAAAGAAGAAACAAAGTTTATTGGACAACAATCGGCAGCCCAAGCTTGAACCAGACTAGCAGAATGTGTAAGCCCTTTTCTCAATATCTTCTGGCATTGCAAAAATAATATCTGAAGCTCGTTCAAATCCCTGTTCCCACAAGAACTTTTACAGCAGTACCATAATATAATTAGCTCTGGCAATCACAGTTTTATATTGCCAAAATCAAATAAATCTCATTCTAGGTCAGGAATGTAGAAAACTGCCCACATACCTGACTGATTAGGATGGTGGAAATCCTTGAAAGTGTAAAAACTGAAAACTCTGTTGGTCCAACATATCATAGAAAGCAAATAAAATCTAACTGAACAATGATAAAGAACATATCGCATTCCCATAGCAATAGTATTAAATTAAGAAATCAACTTAGAAAATATGAGGAAGAAGAACTCCGAAAATATGAGGAAGAAGGAATATATTTCTGTTATATTCAAAACTTCTTATCTTACAAGACCAAATGACACTCCTTATATAGGAGATATTACAAACATCATTATAACCCATTATATGCCACTTACATATTATATATTACCACTATCTACCACTATCATATTATATACATGCCACTATCTACCACCAACACCACTATCATATTCTATACATGCCACTATCCTTCACCAACACCACTATCATATTATATACATTATCACAAATTTCCAGCAAATCAAACGTGCAAAAGTAATTACCACATTTTGGTACTTTAGATGGTTCTTTTCTGCAACTCATGGTACTATTATGAATCTGTGATATCTTCACCCTTCTGCTCTATCTTCTTTTGTAACTAGAGAAAGAGGATTACCTCCCCCCCCAAAAAAATTACTGTTTCCATTGGGATCTCCTTTGTAGGCCAAAGCCTCAGATTCCTGACAATACTCAAACCAACCTAGTGAAAAGTGTCTATACCAAAGAATACAAAATATGGGTCAATTTCGAAGGTCAAACTCTTTGGTGGCCTAATGGTTCTAATCATGCACGCTGCGAATTGATTCATGCTCAGTAATGGTATGGGACTACTCTTGACAATGAGCATGCACAACCCATTATAAGTGTATGAACTATTAAGTGATTGAAGTCAACCAGAGTTAGAATTGGACTTTTAAGCATTATTGATGTCTCGTGTGAAGGCTTCTTATATTTTTATTTGCTACTCTCTCTAAGACTTTCCTTATTAAGAATTTCCAGTGGGATGCGATAGTTACCTGGGATGATTCTGGTGAAGGGGGCGACAGGACCACGTCGCCGAATCCTTTTCCTTGGAGGTAGGTCCTTTGAGTTTGAAGAAGTGGTTGCAGATCACAGAGGCCACCACCAATTGTCTATAGGGGAGCAGGAGCAAGGGTTGCAGCGGGAGGTGGTGCTGTCGGGGTTTGAAGTACATTGGACCACCAGGAAACTGAGGACGGAGTCCCACATGTCCGATCGTCATTCTTTTTCAGGCCGGCTAGAAGGGAAGGGATGAAGCGTGGCAACCTGGCTTCGCGACGAGGACAATGGTGGTTTTTCGGTGCAGATTGTGGTGACGTCAAAAGGCAAAAGGACTCAGATTTACCTTCCTATGTCGGAGTTTGGAGATAGATGGGAGGGGGTAGCACTGGTTATTGAAGGTTTTGCTATAGGGCCGGAAGGGGGGTCGAAGGCAGGTGAGGACAAGGGGGTGATGATCGAGAAAAGGTTGTTCCAAAGCCTGGGGGAACAATCAGCCCAATTGGCGGAGTTGAGGTGGTGAATGGTGTGGCGGAGGAAGGGTGGTTCCAATATCTGGACAGGGCAGTAGTGGGTAAAGTGGGTTTGAGAGGGGACAAGGGGGTGGGTTTTTTAGCCATGACAGAATGGGTCGGTCGTTGGTGGAAGGAGTTCGGGAAAGTGAAAATCCGACCAATCAGGGGCCAAGACTTTTTGTTTGTTTTGCCGACACGACAAGACGACGAGACCTTGCTGCGACAGCGGTGGGTTATTGCTGGCCGTGACCTGAATCTGGTGTGGTGGTCTCCGACAGTGCTGTGCCAGGCGACGGAAGTGTCAGAAGCGCGGCAAATCCTCCGGTGATAAGCCCCTTTCAGACTCTACATCATCCAACAAAGATAATAAGGACACCACTGCCTCTCTCTGACCTTGTAAATGGCCAAACACCTCCCTATTCCAGCTTTTCAAATCCTCTTTAAGTAATTTCAGCTTCTGTGCCAACATATAACTAGGCGAGCTTGTAACTGCATAAGTAAACCAACATTCCCACACCATCTCCAAGAAACCATCTGCTTGCAACCATATATTCTCCAATTGAAAAGGCGTAAGGTTACTGCGAAGCCCCCACCATCAAGTAAAAGAGGTCAGTGATGAGACATCGGGCGGGCCAACCGAAACTGAGCCACCTCCGAAAAATGCTCCTCCCAATCACTTCGAGATCAGAAATCGATCAATCCGAGACAGACTCTGCCCATTCGACCAGGTGACTCTCCCTCCTTGAAGCGGTAAGTCAATCAGACGCAATTCATTAATGAAAGAACACAAACTCCACATAGAGCCCGACTCCCGAGAACTCCCCACCCTCTCACTTGGCCACCTCATCATGTTGAAGTCACCTCCCATACACCAAGGTTCAGACCAACGGAACGCCACAGCCTCCAACTTTGACAGGAACTCTCCTCAATCAACACGTCGTACTGGACCATACACCCCCGTGAACACCCATCAAAATTGGTCCTCCACACACCGAAATAGATAAGACACTGAAAAACTGCCAAACTCCTCTTCCTTCTCAACAACCCTCGAGTCCCAGCAAGTCCCAGCAAAGCAGTACACCACCTGCCGTGCCCATTGCCAGCAAATGTAGCCATTCCACAAACCTGCACCCCCCCCAATTTCCCGCACCACCTCTACCTTTAACACCTCCATCTTTGTCTCCTGTAAGTACACCACATCAACTGTTGCCCTACGCAATACTGCCTTCACCGCTAAGTATCCTGTTAGAATTTACCATCACCTACCACCAATTTACCATCACCTACCACCACCTACTCCTCACCTACTACACTCACCCTCTCCTATATAATGAGCCACTCACCATTTGTAATATATGTATCAACAATATATCAATCAATAATACATAAATTTTTACATGGTATCAGAGCAAGGTTAAGACTCTAGTAATTTTGCTTCACCGGCGGGCGGCAACCTCGCCTTGGCCGCCCGCCGGACCTCAATCTATTCCGCTTATTTTCTACCCATACCTTTCCATCCCTGCCTAAAACCTCTTTCTCTAAAATCTGGATCTCACAATCACCAGATGCCATGTTCACGCCACCGATAAGCCCATCGTAGTTCGGTCAGTGTGGTCTGTCAATTTCGAGTCAGAGTTCGAACTAATCCGACTCATCATCGATCTCTACCCTTTCGTCTCCATGGACACAGAATTCCCAGGTGTGGTGGTTCGTCCCAAGAGCGGAATGAATTTCTTCCGCAATCGCAATCCCACCGCGCATTACGCGACCCTGAAAGCCAACGTTGATCTCTTGAATCTCATTCAGATTGGCCTCACTCTCTCCGATTCAGACGGTAATCTCCCCGATCTCGGCACCAACAATTGCTACATCTGGGAATTCAACTTCATGTTGTTGACTGATATACTTTCCTCCGCACTGATCTCCCTCTCTCTCTCAGGTTTTGAGCTGCTGAGGGATAGTGCATAATGGGTGTTGATCATGTTGTTGACTGATATACCCACCACACAGACACATTCCCATACACAACACAACAGACACATTGGCTACCAAGCACATGCTCCGCCCTGCACACACGCACACAGAACAACACAACACAACACACCCAGCTTTTCTTTGTTTTTGTTTTTGTTTTTTTATATATATATCTCTATATATATATATTTTTTTATTCTCCTATATCTCTTTTTTTATTCTACTATAATAGTCTAATAAACTATTACACATTACACCAACCCCTGCGTCTCTCTCTCATCTTTCCATCACACCCAACTTTTTCTTTTTATTTATTTATTTATTGTTTTGCTTCAACCCAGACACCAACTTTTGTCCCCCTCTTTTCATTTCTTTTTATTTTTATATTATTCACCCACCTCTGTTTTTTCCACTCTTTATCAAGTGGCTTGAATTTACTGTTAATATACCAGCTCTTGGCAACTTCAATATCAATTCCCTCTTTTTCAATAAGTTTGACTACAGCAGTGCAGTGGGTTAGGTTAATTGGGTCTGTCCCTGGATATCCTAAGGCTCCTAATTTGAAAAAGTGGGGACATATGACGTTGCGTACCATTATCATCATCATCATGTTCCCCACTCTCTCTCTTTTTTCTTTTAGCAGTTTGAAAACACATGGGCATGTCCCTCCTTTTTTTTTCACCATCTCCCTCTTTTTCTACACAATATTTTTGTACCACCGCCCACTCCATGATACCAATATTATTATTCTTATTATTATTATTATTATTATTATTCTTATTATTATTATTTTTCACAAAAAAAAAAAAAAAAAATCCTTCCAGTTGATTTTTTCTGCATTTCCACACCTACCATTCGAGTTTTCCAAACACACTTGCTTTATTCATTTCAGGGATCAACCCCGATCACAATTTTACACCCAAAAAAAAAAAAAAAAACCAACCAAACAAACAAACAAACAACCCACAACAACCACATCAACAGGCGGGATTTTTTCTTCTTTACTCTGCTGCCGGTCTCTTCTTCTTGCCTCCGTCCTGGGCGGCCCTTGACGGTGTTGCCTCCGTGTTTCCCACTCCACCGAGCACGTTCACTCCACCCTGCTCCTCCACTACAGCATATGGTGTACCTCCAAAACGAAACATCACGGTGGCCTTCCGCTTCAGCTCCTTATTTTCCGCCTTTAGCACACTTATCTCTGCTCGCGCATCCTTATACATGCGTTGGAGCAGAGCCAGCTGGGAGTTTAACTGCTGCACCTCATTTGCCCTACTCTGCAGCCGGTTCGACAAGTTTGTCACCGCAGTCATGGATTCCACACATGCCTTCAATGTATACTGATTGGCTTCCACATCCGACTGCACTGCCATTCTTTGCTCCACAGACCGCATCGGAAAGTTCAACGGAGCAAACTCCGGGGCGCTTGGTTGAGGTTCCAGTGCCACCGCACCAGTTCTCTCTCTTGTTGACTCGTTGAGGTCGGGAAAGAGGGTGAGCAGACCACGGGAAGACGAAGCCATTTTCTGGTTAGCTGGACGGAAAGAAGAGGCCATGTATCATATTCTATACATGCCACTATCTACAACCAACACCACTATCATATTCTATACATGCCACTATCTACAACCAACACCACTATCATATTCTATACATGCCACTATCTACAACCAACACCACTATCATATTCTATACATGCCACTATCTACAACCAACAATCAATAATACATATATTTTTACACTCTGTAAACTGTCCCGACATTGATTCCGGTTAGCTCCTCTATGGGTCCGACAAGACTTTGTAAACTGTCCCGACATTGATTCCGGTTAGCTCCTTTATGGGTCCGACAAGACTTTGTAAACTGTCCCGACATTGATTCCGGTTAGCTTTTTCAAGGGTCCGACAAGACTCTGTAAACTGTCCCGACATAGATTCCGGTTAGTTTCTACAAGGGTCCGACAAGACTCTGTTAACTGTCCCGACATAGATTCCGGTTAGTTTCTACAAGGGTTAGTTTCTACCTAGGAAGCACGGATACAGATACGAGATACGGATACGATACGATACGGATACGGCGATACGACAAAATTTGAAAAACTAGGATACGGGTACGGCGGGGATACGTTCGTAAAAAATATTATTTTAATAATTTTTAGTAATGCAATATGCATAAAAATAAAACCTAAAGCAAAAGACAACTTGATAAAGAAGAAAGATTCCTATAAAACTAAGAGTCTTCAAGGTCAATAGCTTCAACTTGTTCTTTTCATTAGTAAATATTACAAGACCTTAGCTAAAGCCAAAAAACCATTCTTAAATAAAAATTTCAGCAAATATACTTTTTTAAGTCGTCAATGATAGCCTAGGAAGCATGGATACAGATATGGTGATATGAGGATGTGGATATGGATATGGCGATATGTCAAAACTTGAAAAAGTATGATATGGGTACAGCGGGGATACATTCGTAAATTTTTTTTTTATAATTTTAATAATGTAATATGCATGAAAATAAAACTTAAAGTAAATTAATAAATAAAGAGAGGGATTCCTATTAACCTAAAAGTGCTCAAACATTCATAAAACATCCAAAATTAAAAGCAAAAGCAAATGCAAATTAAACATCATCCTTACATGCCCAACATCAGAAAAAGAATGAGAGCAGAGAGAAGAAACGTGAGAGAGTGAGAAAGAGAGAGAGAAGTGAGAGAGACAACAAGGATACATCAATTTGACAAATTCTATTACTTTAACTCTCACTATATTCCTCTTATCAAATAACTAAACAAAATATTATAAGTAATATGTAACTTCGAGTATCCGATACTTCAAAATTAAGTATCCGATACTTCAAAATTAATAAAAAATTAATTAAGAAGTATCCGATACTTTTAAGAAGTATCTGATACGTATCCGCGAGTATCCGAGGAGTATCGGTATCCGATTAGTATCCGATACGGATACGTCACCTTTTTTGAAGTATCCGTGCTTCATAGGTTTCTACAAGGGTCCGACAAGACTCTGTAAACTGTCCCGACATTGATTCCGGTTAGTTTCTACAAGGGTCCAGCAAGACCCCATAAACTAGGACTCAGATTTACCTTCCTATGTCGGAGTTTGGAGATAGATGGGAGGGGGTAGCACTGGTTATTGAAGGTTTTGCTATAGGGCCGGAAGGGGGGTCGAAGGCAGGTGAGGACAAGGGGGTGATGATCGAGAAAAGGTTGTTCCAAAGCCTGGGGGAACAATCAGCCCAATTGGCGGAGTTGAGGTGGTGAATGGTGTGGCGGAGGAAGGGTGGTTCCAATATCTGGACAGGGCAGTAGTGGGTAAAGTGGGTTTGAGAGGGGACAAGGGGGTGGGTTTTTTAGCCATGACAGAATGGGTCGGTCGTTGGTGGAAGGAGTTCGGGAAAGTGAAAATCCGACCAATCAGGGGCCAAGACTTTTTGTTTGTTCTGCCGACACGACAAGACGACGAGACCTTGCTGCGACAGCGGTGGGTTATTGCTGGCCGTGACCTGAATCTGGTGTGGTGGTTTCCGACAGTGCTGTGTCAGGCGACGGAAGTGTCAGAAGCGCGGCAAATCCTCCGGTGATAAGCCCCTTTCAGACTCTACATCATCCAACAAAGATAATAAGGACAACACTGCCTCTCTCTGACCTTCTAAATGGCCAAACACCTCCCTATTCCAGCTTTTCAAATCCTCTTTAAGTAATTTCAGCTTCTGTGCCAACATATAACTAGGCGAGCTTGTAACTGCATAAGTAAACCAACATTCCCACACCATCTCCAAGAAACCATCTGCTTGCAACCATATATTCTCCAAATGAAAAGGCGTAAGGTTACTGCGAAGCCCCCACCATCAAGTAAAAGAGGTCAGTGATGAGACATCGGGCGGGCCAATCGAAACTGAGCCACCTCCAAAAAATGCTCCTCCCAATCACTTCGAGATCAGAAATCGATCAATCCGAGACAGACTCTGCCCATTTGACCAGGTGACTCTCCCTCCTTGAAGCGGTAAGTCAATCAGACACAATTCATTAATGAAAGAACAGAAACTCCACATAGAGCCCGACTCCCGAGAACTCCCCACCCTCTCACTTGGCAACCTCATCATGTTGAAGTCACCTCGCATACACCAAGGTTCAGACCAACGGAACGCCACAGCCTCCAACTCTGACAGGAACTCTCCTCAATCAACACGTCGTACTGGACCATACACCCCCGTGAACACCCATCGAAATTGGTCCTCCACACACCGAAATAGATAAGACACTGAAAAACTGCCAAACTTCTCTTCCTTCTCAACAACCCTCGAGTCCCAGCAAGTCCCAGCAAAGCAATACACCACCCGTCGTGCCCATTGCCGGCAAATGTAGCCATTCCACAAACCTACACCCCCCCAAATTTCCCGCACCACCTCTACCTTTAACACCTCCATCTTTGTCTCCTGTAAGCACACCACATCAACTCTTGCCCTACGCAATACTGCCTTCACCGCTAAGTATCCGCCACTGTAACCACTTCTTTACTAGGAGATCCCTTTCGCCATGACGCCTCCACTACTGAGAATAATCGTAAAGCTTCCTCCTCGTGGCCTTCGAATTACAACCCCAGTAGTCGACTAACCTCAACTATGCGTTCTAGCACCCAATCTGAGACCTCCTTAGCTGCAGGTATCTCATTCCTACCCAAGACATTGCTACTCTCAACCTGCATCGGTGTTGGGCCCATCAATCCCTCCTGGTCACCCCTATCCACGGCCAACGGTTGCAAAACCAGAGCCAAATTGTCACAGCCCTCCTCCATTTCTGCTTCAGCCCTGGCACCCCATGACAGAACAACTCCCTGTTCGTCCCACAACTCGTCATCCAGTTGACGACATATCCTTGCCTTGACACCCGATATTGTCGCCATCTGCCCTTCCACAACAACACTACGAGAGCCTTGAAAGAGTCTGCTGCCTTATCAGAAGACCCAAGCCCATGTCTCGCGGATGACCCATCCTACTCCCTTGACGACAAACCCTGCTCCATTCTCACTGACGTCTCGGCCAACATCCCTGCCTTCGACACGTGCTCCCTCACACTGTTGCACAAGGACTCAAAAATCCGTTGCACTGGGAGATCCGTCTCCGGACCCGCATGTTGAGGAATGGACCTAGACATTAAGAGCTCCAGCCCATCCCCAGAACAGTTAAGCCCAAACTAACACCTTCCCCTACGAGCCTATTATTTTTCCCACCATGACCCATTTGCTTATTTCCTTGACCCACTGGGCCTAACCCCATACGGTGCCTGCCGTGGCCCTTCCACTCCTGAGCTTGCTGTTTCTTAAAAAGCAAACGTTGACCTTGATTTCCCCCAAATCGTTGAAAATCTAGTCTAGCCCTAAATCTCTGAAAATTTGGTATATACCCAAATCTATGCCCATTCTGACGATCATGCATCCAGTCACGCCCATTCTTCTTCATACGCAGTCCACCCGTTGTCCCTCTTGACGGCGTATCAGCCTCCACTGTCGGCGCACCAAAACCCTATCTGACACGTAATCGGACCACCCCAAGGTCCCCCGACAGTTCGTCGGTGTCCACAAAACCACCACATCGATCGCCAATAACTCGGTACATCAAATTGCCGCGAAGATGTATGGGTAAGTCCATCACCTTCACACTCTTGATCAGAGTCAGTCGGCCCTCGACTGAAAGATATTGCCTCTTCCAGCCTGCTAAATGACGTTGAATTTGTTCCACAACCCCTTCCCATACCCTTTGAGCTTTAAACGATGCTCCCAACGGCAAATCCAAATAAGTCACCGGTAAAGTCGACACCTTACAGCCTAACACCGTCGCTAACACGGGCAATCCCTCCACATTACCCACTGAAATCAGCTCGGATTTCCTCAAATTCACCCAAAGGCCAGAAACTGCCTCGAAACACAGCAAAACACATCGCAAGTAACCCACCTGTTTCGGCATTGCCCCACAAAAGATTAGTACATCATCTGCATACAGCAAATGGGAAACACATAGAGATGCTCCTGTGAGAGAAGCTATTACAAAGCCCTCCAACAAACCTTCATGAACAACCTTATCCAACAGTCTACTCAATGCCTCCATCACTGAAATGAACAGTAATGGAGACAAAGGATCCCAGTGATGAAGACCTCGATGAGTTGGAAAAAAACCCGCCGGCGTACCATTTACCAGAACAGACATCTGCACAGTAGAAATACAAATTTGTATCTACTAACACCAAGTCTCTTCAAAGCCCATGCACTCCAAAACATATATCAAAAACTCCCACCGTACATTATCCATAAGCCTTTTCAATGTCCAACTTACAAATCAAACCTGGTTGCCCCTATCAAATCTGCGAATCCACACTCTCATTAGCCACCAACACTGCATCTAGAATCTTGTGACCCCCCATAAAAGCATTTTGGGACTCAGATACCACTACCTGCAAAATCCCTTGAAGCCTATATACCCTAACTTTAGCTAAAAGCTTAGTTCCAAGCAGACTAATAGGCCTAAAATCCCAAATATCTAGTGCCCCCCTTTTTTAGGAATCAAAGCCAATAAAGTCGCATTAAAACTCTTCTCAAAATGCCTTGACCAAAAAAAAAGCCTCCAAAGTTGCCATTACATCTGTCTTAACCACGTTCCAACACTGCTGAAAAAATGTCGTAGTAAAGCCATCGGGACTTGGCGCCTTATCCCCACACATCACCTACAAAGCCCCAAGAACCTCTTTTTCCATAATAGCACGCTCCAAAGTCACTTTGTCCTTCACCGATATCATGTCAAACTGAACCCCTGCCATCCCTGGCCGCTACTTCCCTACGTGCGGCCGAAACAGATACTGATAAAAAGCCATAATTCCGTCATTAATCTCCTCATTCGTGTCTAGATCACAACCATCCACCTGGAACCTATTGATTTGTTTCACCTGACGATGTGCGTTAGCCATCCGATGGAAGAACTTTGTATTTCAATCCCCATTCTTCAACCACAAACACCGGGACTTCTTCTTGAAACTCGCCTCCTCCATATGAGAGATACAAACATAATCTTGTCTGGCTACCTCCTTTCCGGCAATGTCATCAAGCGACAAACCCCCTGTAGGCTCTATGTCATCCAAGGACTAAAGTAAAGACACCACCTCTGCCTTTTGGCCCTCTAAATGGTCAAACACCTCCTTATTCCAGCCTTTCAGATCCTTTTGAAGCAGTTTTAATTTCTGAGCCAATATATAACTAGGAGAGCCTATAACCACGTAACTAGTCCACCGTTCTCGAACCCTCTCCAAGAAACCATCTGATTGCAACCACATATTCTCAAAATAAAAAGGTGTTGGGTCCCTCCAAACCCCTCCATTGTTAAGTAAAATGGGCCAATGATCCGACATTGGGCGCGGTAAACGAATCTGAATAGCATCCAAGAAATGCTCCACCTAGCCTCCAAAAATCAAAAATCAATGAATCCGAGATAGACTCTGCCCATTCGACCAAATGAAACTTTTCCCCTAAAGAGGCAAATCAATCGATTGCATCTTGTCAATAAAGGAACAGAAAGCCTACAACCACCTTAACTCTCTAGTGCTCCCCACACTCTCTCCCAGCCACAGTTTTGTTTTTGGGTTATGTATATATAATGAATGTGTGTAAATGTTAGCATATGATATGAAGTGTGTGTGAGATATATAAGATTTATATATGAATATAAATTACTAGCATGCCTAAATGTTTTAATTATTCTAGTTATCATGGATGCACAAGTTCAATGGACATTATTATTTGTTTTGCTTCCGTTTTTATGCCCTGATATGATTTGAATATTTTGAAATTTTGTTTAAGGCTATAGGTAATTTCATGATTCCTAGCCGGTTATGTCCTAAACCTCTAGGGGCGGGTTTAGGTTGTGACACTGCCAGTCGGCGTTGAATCCACTATACCACTGCTTCCCACACCCCTTTGACCTTCAATGATGCCCCCAAAGGCAAATCCAAATAGGTAGTTGGCAAAGCTAACTTCTTACAACCCAACACTGCCGCTAAGACTGGCAATCTCTCTACCTTCCGCACCGGAATCATCTCCGGCTTTCTCAAATTCACCTGTAGACCTAAAATTTCCTTAAAACACAGCAAGACACATCTCAAATAGCTCACCTGCTCCGCCACAGCCCGACAAAAGATTAAGGCATCATCAACATACAACAGATGGGGAACACAAATAGGCAAGAGAGCCCACCAAAAAACCCTCCAACAAACCTTCATGAACAACCTTATCCAACAGTCTACTCAATGCCTCCATCACTGAAATGAACAGTAATGGAGACAAAGGATCCCAGTGATGAAGACCTCGATGAGTTGGAAAAAAACCCGCCGGCGTACCATTTACCAGAACAGACAGCTGCACAGTAGAAATACAAAATTGTATCTACTAACACCAAGTCTCTTCAAAGCCCATGCACTCCAAAACATATATCAAAAACTCCCACCGTACATTATCCATAAGCCTTTTCAATGTCCAACTTACAAATCAAACCTGGTTGCCCCTATCAAATCTGCGAATCCACACTCTCATTAGCCACCAACACTGCATCTAGAATCTTGTGACCCCCCATAAAAGCATTTTGGGACTCAGATACCACTACCTGCAAAATCCCTTGAAGCCTATATACCCTAACTTTAGCTAAAAGCTTAGTTCCAAGCAGACTAATAGGCCTAAAATCCCAAATATCTAGTGCCCCCCTTTTTTAGGAATCAAAGCCAATAAAGTCGCATTAAAACTCTTCTCAAAATGCCTTGACCAAAAAAAAAGCCTCCAAAGTTGCCATTACATCTGTCTTAACCACGTTCCAACACTGCTGAAAAAATGTCGTAGTAAAGCCATCGGGACTTGGCGCCTTATCCCCACACATCACCTACAAAGCCCCAAGAACCTCTTTTTCCATAATAGCACGCTCCAAAGTCACTTTGTCCTTCACCGATATCATGTCAAACTGAACCCCTGCCATCCCTGGCCGCTACTTCCCTACGTGCGGCCGAAACAGATACTGATAAAAAGCCATAATTCCGTCATTAATCTCCTCATTCGTGTCTAGATCACAACCATCCACCTGGAACCTATTGATTTGTTTCACCTGACGATGTGCGTTAGCCATCCGATGGAAGAACTTTGTATTTCAATCCCCATTCTTCAACCACAAACACCGGGACTTCTTCTTGAAACTCGCCTCCTCCATATGAGAGATACAAACATAATCTTGTCTGGCTACCTCCTTTCCGGCAATGTCATCAAGCGACAAACCCCCTGTAGGCTCTATGTCATCCAAGGACTAAAGTAAAGACACCACCTCTGCCTTTTGGCCCTCTAAATGGTCAAACACCTCCTTATTCCAGCCTTTCAGATCCTTTTGAAGCAGTTTTAATTTCTGAGCCAATATATAACTAGGAGAGCCTATAACCACGTAACTAGTCCACCGTTCTCGAACCCTCTCCAAGAAACCATCTGATTGCAACCACATATTCTCAAAATAAAAAGGTGTTGGGTCCCTCCAAACCCCTCCATTGTTAAGTAAAATGGGCCAATGATCCGACATTGGGCGCGGTAAACGAATCTGAATAGCATCCAAGAAATGCTCCACCTAGCCTCCAAAAATCAAAAATCAATGAATCCGAGATAGACTCTGCCCATTCGACCAAATGAAACTTTTCCCCTAAAGAGGCAAATCAATCGATTGCATCTTGTCAATAAAGGAACAGAAAGCCTACAACCACCTTAACTCTCTAGTGCTCCCCACACTCTCTACCAGCCACCTCACCATAGTAAAATCACCCCCTATGCACCAAGACTCCGACCATCGAAGAGCCACACTTTCTAACTCTAATAGGAACTCGCCTCGATATGCATCTTGCAACAGACCATACACCCCAGTAAACACCCACCGAAATTGGTCCTCTACACATTGAAACAAACATGACATAGAGAAACCTCCCACCCCCTTCTCATTCTTCATCACTACTCTAGAACCCCAACACAAAAGTATCCCACCTGCTGTACCAGCGGCTGACAAATGTAACCACTCCACAAATCTCCCTCCCCAAATATCACGCACCACATTCTCCCCTAACACTTCCATCTTTGTCTCCTATAAGCACAACACATCAGCATTTGCACTATCCAGCACCGCTTTCACTACTATCCTTTTACCCCTATCATTCAGGCCCCGCACATTCCAATAGAGAATTTTTATCGTCATTTCAACATAAGTAGTCCCCCACGAGTTCTCCAAGAGTCATGTCTGGCCTTCAAACCTCCCTGTTCATAATTAATGGAGCATTC